AGATGCAGGAGCAATGATTTTGTAAGATTACCTAACTGGGAAGAACTGGAGTGCATTATGCTGAGTGAACTAACTTAAGTCTCACAAAGAGAAATATTCTATAAAACCATTATTGTAGAATGAGCCTACGGATCCAAGGGTTCTGGGGGTGGGTGGAGCAGAGGGACGAGGATGTGCAGGGGGAGAGGGGGATTAATCATGGAGTTGTACAATTTGATAGGTGAGGGAAACTTGAGGGTGAGGAAAGTTGGAAGAATCTTTTCTCGAAAACAATGTATTTGAATTTTGTAAATAAACCAGTATGAAATAAAATTTTTAAAAATTCTTTAAAAAAAGAGCATTCTAAGATCTGTCCTGAAGTAAGATGCTAAGAGTAATAAGATACTATCCACATGTGTAAAAGGAAGAAGCACTGTTAATATTGTATTTGTTCAGTTGTACATGCCAACCACAAAAACCAAAGGTTAAATACTTGAGAATTTCTACTAACTTTTGTAGCCTGAAAATGCTCAAGCATCCTTTCAAGGTGCATTGTTGGGTGAAGAGAAAGGCAATATACAATAAGAGGTTGAATAGACATTGTAAATAATTAATTCTATTAATCAGTTGTACTTACTGCTATAAAATGAAATATATATAAATGCTTGAATGAAAAAGAAATATGATTTGTAAACTTTCAATCAAGCTAAAAATAAGAATGTTAATTATGGAAAGAGCTGCAGAAAGAGCATTCCAGGAAGAGGGAGCAGCTAATGTGGAAAGGAAGGAAGCAAGCCCGCTGTTTTCATGGACCAAGAGGAAAAAAAAAAAACATTATGACTTTCTCAGTGACTGGAACAGAGCAGAGCAAAGGAGAGGGTACAGGTGAGACCAGTCGGATTACCAGCACCAGAACACAGCTGGCCTTTAGTGGGTTTGTAGAGGCTGTAAATCACCAAATATTGTCCACCTTTCTCCTAAATAGAACCTTGTACATGATAGATAGAAAAGAGATTAAGGTTGCTAACAGTTATGGCTTGCTCAACTCCACAGTCAACACTCTTGGCACCAGCAGTCAGAAAGTTAAAAAATTAATTGCATTAGGTAAATCTCCTATCAGAGACCTTTCCAGAGTACTGGGAAGCAACGTTGTCAGTCTAGAGACTAAGATGCCCTTGATTCAGGCCGTGGTATTTGCAACTACTTGCTATGCATCAGAGAGTTGGACAATGACTAAGGATAACAGAAAAAGAATTGATGCCTTTAAGTTGTGGTGCTGGAGAAGAGCACTGAACATATCACGGACCACCAAGAAAACAAATAGAAGGTGAAACCGTTTCTCCTTGGAGACTAGGATTTTGAAGCTCTGTCTCACATATTTTAGGCACATGGTAAGGAGAGACTGGTTCTTGGAGAAGGACATCATACTCAGAAGGGTAAAGGGACAGTTCAGGAGAGGAAAACCTCAGATGAGATAGATTGATACAATAACTGGGGCAATGAGAGTAGGTGTGTTGGAGTCAGTGAGACTGGCTCAGGACAGGGCAGGCTTCAGAGCTGTTGTACATAGGGTCACTATGAGTCTCAGGTGAGCTTGACAGTTCATAACAACAATACCACCACCACCACTTTTGTAAAGAGTGCAAGGGAGATGAAACCTAAGAAAGTTCTGAAGCAAGAGTGGCTTTGAGTCAATTCCAACTTAGAGTAGCCCATGGAATAGAGTGGTGGTGGTGGTGTTATGTATCATCATACCAACTCTTAGCTGGCTCTCCAGTGGGTTTTCAGAGTCAGTAAATCACACAGGACCACCAGCGATCTTGAATCTAATCCAGTAGACCTGCCTGATGTTTTCTAAGCTGCAGTCTTTATGAGAATAGATCACTTTTCCCTGTGGGTTCTTGGGTGGGTTCAAACTGCTGACTTTTTGTTTAGGAGCCAAGCATTTAACCATTGCACTGCCATGATAATCGAGATAATGTTTGTTGTTGTTGTTGTTACATGCCATCTAGTTATAGGGGACTCATAGTGACCCTATGAATGAAAGACCTGAACACTCGTATAACTTTCATCATTTCTCTAAGTTCATAGTTTCTGGAGGCAAGCTATTTCAGAAGTGGATGCCACTCCTGCTTCCAAGCTTGTTTCAATCAAGGAGCTCCACCAAACACTGTCCATCATGGGTAACCATTACCGCATTTGACACATCAGTGTCACAGTGTTCAGCATCACAGCAACCACGAGTTACCTCTGTACGGCAAATGGACAGACCAGTGCAATACCATTTAGAAGAATGTTTGACCAAAACCAATTAAAACCAGGCCTGAGGGCTGCAGACCAAAATCACCCACCTTTGGCTTGGTAGCATCACATTCTGTCCACTAAGCCAACTGAGCTAATTCGTTGTTGTTTAGCCACATAAGACAACAAGTAGTTATTATTGCCCGTACTATGAGGAATTAAAAAATGGTTCTGGCTTAGGTTTCCTCATGAGATTGCTGTCAGCATGTTGACCCGGGATGGTAGTAACTGAAAAGCTTGGCTGGGACTTGGGAATCCACTTCCAAAACGGTACAGTCATTCGGTTATTGGCAGGAGGCCTCTGTTGCTCACTACATCGACCTTTCCACAGGGCTGCTTGAATGTCCTCACAAGATTTCTGACTTGTCCTTGAATAAATGACTCAACAGAGAGTAAGAAAGAAGTCACAGTGTCTCTTATAACCTACTCTTGGAAGCAATACACTGTCATTACTGCAGTTTTAAATAGGTCAGTTCTACTCATTCTAAAAGGATGCATCAGAAGACAAGAAGCATTGGACACCGCTTTGGAGGCTGGCTACCTAAGATGGCTTTTAATGACAATTTTCCATGTAGAAGATAATGGTATAGAAGAAAATAGTGGTAGAAGGCAAGAGAGGCCCAGAAAAACTATGCTGTAAGACTTTGTACACATCTGAATAGAGATTTTCCCCAGCAATTGCCTACTGTTTACTAATTGGCCTGCTATTTGCAACTAACCCCACAAAACTAAAAAAAAAATAGCCTAATTACAACACATTGTTGGACTCAGAGGTGTTTCATTCACATTCTAAAGTAACAATTTACTTGGCTTAATTTGCCAAATCTTCTGTGATTATAATAAGTGAAAAAATGATACAACAATGGGTTTCTCAGTAATGTAAACAGCATTTCCCATCTCTTGAGCAGATGGGAGAAAAGATAAATACTCTTCTTGTGCATTCATATTTTCTATAACACCTATTTTGTTCCTAAATTGTTTTCCAGTTTAGTTATTTGAAGAGGCTTAATTTCTCTCTTGCCAAGCCATGCTCAATAAGCTGTCATTCTTACTCTTGTTTAATGGGAAGACACTTTTAAGAACAAGCAGATCAGTGGGATACCATGGGCCTCACTTCTTCTGTCAGCTTAGTTATGAGAGCACAAGGGTGTCTCAGTAATCACTGCACAATGATCTGTCTGTCAGAAGGGAGAAGTCATTCAACTGAGTGTAGGTGCAAATCACTCTGTATAATTAGAGGAGTTGTCTGTATCTTTAAATTAGTTCCTCTGGTGATTACTTCTTAGTTTTCTTTTGTTTGAGATAAATGACAGCAACCAAAGCCCAAATCGATGGAGAAGCAGACTTCAGAAAGAATAAGAATGAAGTGTCATCCAGGAGTCAGTGTATATGCAGTTAACCAAAGAAGAGCGTTACCTTAACATCGTGTAAAAGTTGGGAACTTTGGTTGCAGAGATGGAGCTGAATACCATTATGGTTCTGTTTTTCAGATAGTTGCGTAACTTGGCCAAATTGCACTTTTCCCTACTCTGGCTTGAACATAGAGAATTTTTTCTTTCTTTCATTCTCTTTTCATTTTGTACTGCATGTGATTGCTATTTTTTAGAGTGGGTTTTACTGCTTACATCCAAACATTTAACATTTCTTTGAACCTACTCAATGCAGTTGAAGGATAACTAGTATTTTGTTGTTGTTTTGACACTTGGAAACACCATGGAATGGAAAAGAACTGTCCCATGGAGTTGTCTTGATTATAGTATTTCTACAATCAGTTAATCAGATCTTCCCGTGGAGTTCCTGGGTGGATTTATCCTTTTGTTTAACACTTGAATGTGTAACTGTTTACATCACCAGTGTTCCCATAACTGTGCTGTTGTTAGGCACTATCAAGTTGACTGTCACATAATGACCCTATAAACAACAGGTCTGAACTTCACCCTAGGGTGACAATCCTCACAGTCTGTGTCATGCTCAAGTTCATTGATGTAGTCACTATGTCATTCAGTCTTATTGAGGACCTTACTCTCTTTCACTGACTCTTTACTTTTCTAAGCATAATGGCTTTTTTCAGGGAATGTCATCTCTTGACAATGTGCCAATAGTATATGAGATGATGTTTCACCATCCTTGCCTCTAGGTAGTACCTAAGTTATGCAGCCATGAAGACAGACTTGTTTTGTTCATTTGGCAATCTATAGGATATTCAGTACTCTTCTCCAACACTATAATCCAAAGCAGCCATTCTTCTGTCATTTTTATTTCAAATGCATAAGAGCCAACTGGAAAACACCATGGCTTGGATCAGGAGTGCCTTAGTCTTTAAACTGACATCATTGCTCTTGAGCACTTTAAAGAACACTTGACAACACATTTGCCCAATGTAACATGCCTTTTGATTTCTTGACTCCTGCTTCCATTAATAATGATTGTGCTTCCAAGTAAAATGCAGTCATTGGCAACTTCAGTCATTTCTCCATGTATCATGATGTTGCCTATTGGTCCAGTGGTGAGGATCTTTGGGGTAATCTTTATCTTCCTTAGTAAGTGCCAGTGTAGGTCTTAAATGTAAAAGAAATCTATAAGCAGTGGTGGTCCCTTGGCACTGAACCAGATGCTATTGAGCTGAGATTCTGAGTAATGTCTTAAGTTGTGTTAAATAAATTCTCCCATCATGCCATTCTCCTAAATCATAAGATCAATGTGTCTGTGTTGTGCTTTAGTGCCCGCGAGTGATGAAGAGGAGGGAGCGATTCTTTTTGACAACGCGGGCAAGGCGGCTGCTGATCCCTTCGACTCATCTTCGGGCTCTGTGCAACTCATTGCAATAAAGCCCACTGCCCTTCCAGTGGTACAGCCAGCCTCGGAGAGGAGCCAGGAGGCAGCCGTCCTCAACGGTGAGGTAAGGGCCTGAGGACTCAGAACAGGGACGAGTCCAGCCAGGTCTCAGTGAGTGATGCCTGGGAACTAGGCCTCAGAGGAACTGTGTGGAGATTGCATCTATCAGCTGAACCTCTGCAGGCACCAGGCCTCAGCAGAAGGAACCAGGACACCGAGGACCTCAAAGAAATGCATTAAGTCCTTTATTTTTTTTTCCAGAATATTTCTGCCATTATTAATAAGCCTGGAGTGATCTTATACTCTCTGCCCGCAAACAGAATCTTTGGCATTTCTTGGACACTCTCCTGACTTAGGTACATAGAGTTGCAGTAATGCAGGCAAGTGGCCTTAAAGAACAGGGATTTCCTTTCGCACAGTTCTGGAGGTTGTGGGGTCCAAAAGAAGACATGAGGTCTTAGCTGTGTCCAGTCTTTCCTGGTTGGTGGCATTTAGAGTTCCTTGGTTCCTTGACATTCCTTGGTTCACATACAACAGTGTCCGTCTTCCTCAGAGTGTGTGTTTGTGTGTCTATCCTGTCCTTTGTATTACTCAGAAATTATTAAGAATTTCTTCTGGGATATGACATAATGAACATAACAAAAAAGAAAAAACAACACAAAACAAAACCCTGTTTCTTACTGGGAATTGAAGAAGCTTGAATTGAAAAGGAGTTAGAGAAGATATCTTCATATGGTCAGAGAAGTAGCCCACCAATAGAAGCACGGAAATAACTTTTACTCCTTTGAACACACTTGAAATAACTCATTGCCTGCTTCCAGAATTTCACTGTGTAACCTGAAGTGTCTGAAAATAATTTACCGTGTACACAAAGTTAAATAAAAAAAAAAATTATCTTCCTGTCCTCCATTTTCTGCAGCAGAATAATCAAGGACTGAGCAACAAGCAAGTACAGAATTGTTACATCACACATAGATACTCTCCTATCATTGGAAAGTCTGTTGTTCATTTCATTTGTATGTTGTATACCTGTTCCTGTTGCCTACAGAAAGTGAGAGATTCCCAAAGGTTTATCAGCTTTTCCGTGACATCTCAAGAAGCTTGCCCTATATAAGTGGGCGTGGTAGACTCAAGTCCAGAATTGCCTTCATTTTATCATCCAGCCACTTAGAAAAGCAGTTCACAGACCTGACTCAAGAAGCACATCTGACGTCCTGGGTAGGGCTGAGTGAGCCTGGATTTTTCAGCATCTCAGTTTCTCTGTCTATAAAATGGGGCTGCTGTGAAAATTCAAAGAGGAATCTATTTAAAGTGCCTAGCACAAAATAATCACTATAACAAACCAATCTCACTGCCCTTAAGTCATTTCTGACTTAGTGACCCTCCATCAGGTTTTCCAGGCTTAAATCTTTCCAGAAGGAGAAAGCCCATCTTCTTCCTATGTAGCAGCCTGTAGACTTGAACTGCTAACCTTTTGGTTAGCAGCTCAATATATAATACGTCATGCTACCAGAACTCTTTATACACTCTGTATGTGTTGCTATTATCATCAATTTGACAGTCAGTGGACAAAACCTCGTTGACCATCTACTTTATGCTACTTGGTTCTATACCCAAAGGGGAACTGAATGTTGTCCCAGAGCTGATCACAGGCTCTCACTCTTTCCCTGAGCCCAGTTTTCCCACCAAAACCACAAGCCCAGCGATTAGAACCTCTGCAGTTATGGTAATGCATTGATAGCTGCTCCTGGTTAAGTCTTTCTGCCCCGTTACAAGTCCAGGTCATACATAGCCTCCATGCTTGGGTCCTTATCATCACACTTTAATGATGTGAATGCCATGGGGACAGATTCCAAGTTTTGCCAAACTCAGCTTTCAAAAACCCCATGGCCACCAGTCAATTCCTGCTCATTGTGACCCCATAGGACAGAGTTGAACTGCTGTAGGGTGTCCAAGGCTGTAAATCTTTACAAAAGCAGAGTGCCCCATTGTTCTCCCTTCGTGCAATGCGTGGACATAAACCACTGACCTTCTAGTCATCAGATGAGTACTTAACCACCAGGCCACCAGATGCCCTTGAAGCCAACCTGTGTCTTCCTTTCTCTGCCTGGCCCATCACCCTGTCTCAGAAGGACACAGATGAGCATGTGCCATGACCAGAAATGTGTACTTGCTATGTCTCAGTAGTTAGAGGAATGGGCCTCCTTGGCATTTAGATTGGAAACGAGCCCCAGCTCCTGCTCTGTGATTTTCTGCCTTGTGAGGCTCACAGCACATTGTTATATCGTGTTGTTTCTGCTCTGCTCTTATGGGCAGCTGGTTTAAGTGGTTAGGAAATCACAGTGCAGAAGATATAAATTTCTCCTTTGTGAATTACATCAAGTTCTTTCAAAAAGATATTGTAAAGAAAAGATAGTAACAATATAAAGTAAAACAGAAAGTTCATAATAACAGAGAAAAATCACTATCATTTCCCCCTGCTCTCTGCCATAACCTCAATTTTTATTTCTGCATTCTCTTCAAGCCCTTTGCCAAACTGACGTATATTTTAGTTTTCTGCCATATACAGACAGCTTTATGTCTTATAGGGAGCTCTGGGGGCATAGTTTTGGGGAGCTGCACTGGTAACCCAGAGCCCAAGCCTCTCTTCTATGGCCAGTTTGAATCTGATTCTTCAGGAAAAAGGAGCAGTCTCCTCCCATGCGATTTACAGCCTCAGAAAACCCACTGGAAGGTCAGCTATGAGTTGATTCCCACTTGACAGCAATGACTTATGTTCTCTAGTTGTGCCTTGCATCCTAAACACCTGTTGTGTTATGGTGGTCTTTCTGGTTATCATTTATAATGGAAAAAAAATAGGTCTGACCTAGAGAAAGAGAAACCAGGGTGCTCCTTGGAGGCAAGAATGGTGATACTCCATCTCACATACTTTGGGCATGTGGCCAGGAGGGACCAGACCTTGTATAATAAGGACATCATGCTTGAAAGGGCAGAGAGACAGCGCAGGAGAGAAAGACCTCAGTTGAGATGGATTGACATAATAATTGGGGAAATCGAATTAAGTGTATCAGAGTCAGACTGGCTCAGGATAGGGCAGGGTTCAGAGCTGTTATACATAAGGTCGCTATGAGTTACAGGCCACTCAGCCACACATAAACAACAATAGTCACTACAATGAACAATTTCATATGTGTCTTTTAACTTATTTTAAAATACTTTTAATATTAATAGAGATCCTGCTATTCCCCGGTAGTCTCCCATCCAAGTGCTAACCAGGACTGATCCTACGTAGCTTTTGAAATAAGGTGTGTACGGAAGAGCTGTCATCATATAGAGTTCCTGTATGTGTTTTCCCTATTCACTCCCAACATTAGCTATAAACATAGAATGATTTTCAAGCCCAAGAATTTAAAGCTGGAAGACTTTCATTGACTGATGTGCAAACCTCATTTGAATTGTGCTGGGTTTTCTATTAATGCTGTTTTTCTGTTCCAGCTCAGGACCCCACAGTGACATGTAGTTGTTTTTGTCAGTCTCTGCTTGTCTGGAACAGTTCTCTTATCATTCCTGCCTTTCTTAGCCATTGTCACTGTTGTTGTTTTTAATTGTGTCAGATGTCCCTCATGTGAGGGTCTCTATAATATTTTCTTATGCAGATAATATGTTTTCTCATGCAGACCAGGGTTCTTCATTTTTGGAAGGAAACCAGAGCAGTGATGTTGTATCTATTTCAGGGCCTCTTATCAGGAAGCTCTCAATATTAATATATCTGATTGCTGCTAATGCTGACTTTGGACTCTAACTTTGCTTGTCTTTTGGAGTGTTGCTCTAAGAGAGAGTCTTGAAAGAGGATTCTTTGGACACAGGATGTTGGACTAGCTTCTTCATGGAATTTTTCAATGACAAGCAGAATGAAGGACAATTAAGTCTTGTAAAATTCTACACGTCAGGTTAAGGAGAGCCTTACAAAAACTGGGATCCTCTTTCACCCCAGGCAACCCCCCGAGGCAACCCCCACCCCACATTGTATTGTCCTGCTCCTCACTGTCTCTGTGGTTCCTTTGACCCTTTATCCATCTTTCCCCTCCCTTCCCATCTTCTGAATTTTATCCCTGGACAAATGCTGCCCTTGTGGTCCTGTGTGGTTAAGTGTTCTGAGAGCTGAGAGTCTCTCTGGTGTTATAATTTACCTTGTGTTGTTGTTGTTGGTGGTGGTGATGGTGATGGTGGGTGCCATTGTGCCGATTAGGACTCACAGCGATTGTGTGAACAACAATCAGAAGCTCACCCTACCCTGAGCCACACTCAGGGTTTCTGCCAAGCCCGAGCCCAGTGCTCTAGTCACCATGTCGGTCCATCTCATTGAGGGTCTTCCTCTCTTACTGATCCTCCACCTTTCCCAGTATGATGAGTTGGGCATTTTCCCCCCAAGGACTATCCACCCCTCCCCTCACTAAATGACCTTATAGATCTGACTGTTGTTTGGCTGAAAATCGTAGCATAGGCTTGAGTTTAGTTCAAGGCTCAAGGAAAAATGAAAATCTATAATCTGGGGGTTCCAGCAGTCTCCGTCAGGCAGTAACCTGGCCATTCTTGTGGTTTTGAGTTCTGTGCACATTTTTCTCTCTTATTACGTCCAGGAGCTCCTGATGTGATCTCCTTCAGAGTGGGTAGCAGTGGTAGCCACACACTGTCCAGTTCTTCTGGTGTCAGGCTGCTGGAAGTTGAGAATCACCATGTCCATTGATGCTGTGGGCTCATCATCTGTTCTTTAGATAACATAGGCATCCACTTGTATCTTTGATATGCGGTAGGGTACGTTTTCCATGTTAGCTTTCTGGAAGATTAGACCAGACTTTGCTCTTTTGAACAGGATGTGTTTGTTATTAATGTTTCAAAAGAAACTCTCTCTCAAGACCTAGAACTTACTTATAAAAGTAAGCTCTTGCATGCAGGTTGATAGTTTGGCGAGGCCTCCAGGACAGGGTACCCACACTCCTTTCTTGCCCCCCTTCATCTCAATTCGACCTTTTTGAGAAAGCTCTCTTACTCAGCTGAGTATCAGCCAAATGGCCAGGGAGGGTCATTGGTTTCCTCAGGGTTGGAGATAGAGTAGGGGCATCAAGGGCTAACCAGGATGTCAAGCCAGAGGGTTCCAAAGAAAGAAGCCAAAAAGACTTACATAGAGACCCAAAAGGATACAGATAAGGTCAATGTCAGTGCCACAAAGCTAAGAGCTTGGATCCAGGTCTACTTTAGAGTTCGTGCAGACCAAGGTAAAGGAGACCCAGAATTAAGATCTCTGTTTCTTGGGTGAGTACCAGGCTGCACCTTACTGGTGGGCTGACCTTGGAAAGGGCCACGAACAGGTCTAGCTGACTTAAAAGGGCTGCAGGAGAAGCCTGGGATGGTTTTTCCAGGCCTGCAACCCTCAGAGAAATTCCCCACATCTGCTGACACTTCTGGGCCAGATATGTGCCTGAGACTCACTCTCTCTCTCTCTCTCTCTCTCTCTCTCTCTCTCTCTCTCTCTCCAGGTGAACAAGGCTCTGAAGCAGAAGTCCGACATTGAGCATTATCGGAACAAGCTGCGCCTGAAAGCCAAGAGGAAGGGGTATTACGACTTCCCTCCGGTGGAGACCAACAAGGGTCTGACTGACAGAAAAAAGATGTATGAAAAAGCCCCAAAGGAAATTGACCACATTTTGGAACCAGACCCAGAAATCTGCGCCCCATTCACTGAATCAAAAAACAGGTGCCGTATCCACAAGAGGCTCTGAGAGTTTGGTGGGAGGAGGGTAGAGAATGCCTCGGGCAGTACAGTCTGTGGTCTGTTACCTCGAACTGTGGTCTCTGCAGGCTGCTTCTTGGTAGAAGGAGATGCTCTGTAATGAGTCAAGGAGGGGGAAAACAAAGTGAAGCCATGGGGTGGGGGAAGGGGTGGGTTACTCGGACAAGCAATCATAACTGTACTTTAATATAATAATTTTTTTAAACAATATAGCTATTTCAGGGCAGGATGAAAGACACAATGATCTCTTACCCACATTTGTTGTGACTTCCAGATCAGGGAGCATCATGTGTTTCATGATTTTAGTGACTATTCCATGACAAAACCGCTTTTATGCATTAGCTTCTCACTTGGCCTCAGTAAGTTCTTACTACACACCTGCCCAGAGCTCTGTGCTGTGGTCATTTCATTAAGTCATAGATCCATCCATGCATTTACTCAACATTCTTCGTCACCTGCTGTATGTTAATTGTGGGAGAAAGATGGGCAGTCTCCTCCCTTGTGATAACCGCCCCCGAAAACCCCCCTGGAGGGTCGACTAGGGGTCAGTTTTGACTCTGTGGTACACAGCAACATCATATGCTAATAAACCTCCGGTGACCTTGTGGTAAGGAATTGCACTGCCAACCCAAAGGCACGAGATCCAATATACCAGCTTCTCCATGAGAGAAAGATGAACAGTCTTCTCCTGTGCAGTTGACAGTCTTTTAAAACTTGCTGGAGGGTCAGCTGCGAGTCAGTTTCTGCTCAAGGGCACTTAACTGCAGCATGAATTAAGAACTGAGTAAGGTGCTGAATTCTCCCAGGGCCATGTGTGCTTATTCTCATTCATTTATTCAATTCACATAACATTTATGGTCGACAAGAGAGATTAGTCACTGCTCCTGGGGAGCATAAGGTCTGATGGAAGAGGAAGGTTATCATCCACTCAAAGATAACCACAAGGACAATGGGAAAATGTGATGGAAAAGTGTAGACTTCTGTGGTGCTTAAAAGGAGGGCTGTTTCTCAAAAAATTAAATGGCTGTTTACCATGTAGGGAGCTCTGGTGGCCTAGTGGCACGAAGTGGTGCTACAATCCCAAAGGCATGCAGTTCGAGGCCATCAGCTGCTCCGCTGGAGAAAGATGGGCAGTCTCCTCCCATGCGGGTAACTGCCTCTGAAAACCCACCAGAGGGTCAGCTAGGGGTCATTTCAGACTTGACAATACACAACAACAGTGGTTACCCTGTAGTTAGTTGTCACCCAGTCAGTTCCTGCTTGTGGAGCCCCCAGACGTGCAGAGTGGAACTGCTGCATAGGATTTCCTAGGCTGTGACCTTTCAGGTACGGATAGTCAGGCCTGGCTTCCAAAGCATCTCTTGATGAATTCTGATCACCAGTCATTTTGACTGATAGCTAAGTGCTTAGTCATTTGCATCACCCAGGGAGTCCTGTGTTACCACGTGACCCAGCATTTCCACCCCTTGATGGAAATACACTCAAAAGACTTGAATGCAGGAGCTCAAACAGACCTTTGATCTCCAGCATTCACTGTAGCTCCAAGATGAAAACAATGTAAATGTCTATCAGCAGATGAATGGGTAAACCAATTATGGTAAATACTCCAACACAGTGCCACTGAGTTAGAATTGACTCATAGCTGACTCTCCATTGGGTCTCCAACACTGTAAATATAATAGGAAGAGAGTGCTCACTTTTTTCCCTCTGAGCTGCTGTTGTTTTCAAACTGTTAGGGAGGCATGGCCTTTGAGTTCGTAGCACACCTCCCTACAGACTATACCCCCAGACTGCCCTTGTCCTCATAGAGTGCAATGTTATTCAGCTGTAAATAAATTAAGTTCTGGTGTGTGCTGTAACATAAATGAACCTCAAAATCTTGCTGAGTGCTATAAGTTAGACACAAAAGGACAAATGTTGTTAGGCTCTCACTTACATGAAAGAATAGGCCGATGCATAGAGACAAAAATGTATTAGTGATGGAAACAACCCAGGTGCCCATCAACAAACGAATGCATAGAGAAGCTGTGGTATATTCACACAATAGAATACTACGTTGCATTAAAAACAAGAAACTCATGCAATATTATTCAAAATGTGTGAGCCTGGAGGACATTATGATGAGTAAAATATGTCAGATGCAAAAGGACAAATATTGCATGGTGCCACTGTTGTAAAATGGGACTGATATCAGGATTGGGGTAAGACTGAGAAAAACTGGATAAATTGTGTATACTGCACTGAAACAGATGAGGGAGTGAATAATTTAAAAGCGATGTATGTTAGGGTCTTATGGTTATCACAAGAGTCCACAATTAAGGTTGCATAGTGGAATGTACTTGCGGCGGTGGCAGGGGTGCGGGAGAATTGTGTATTAGGGAAGTAGTGTTTCTTTTACTTTTGAAAGAGAGGAGCGGACTGGGGGGAGGGGAATGGATGGGCGGGGAGAGAAATGCAGCAATGAATGAATGGAAATCCAAAATCTCTGTAAATACTCATTAAAATGATTTTTAAAAAGAAGGAAAACAAAACAAACAAAAAGAAATATTAATGATTACCAGGGTGTAGGGTAAGGAGAAATGGGGAGTTATTGCTTAAAGGGTCCTTAATTTTCTTTGAAGGTGATGAAAAACATTTAGAAATAGGGGTGGTGATTAGACAACATGCTACCAAAATTGGTACCAATGAATTATGTACTTAAAAGTGGAAAATATTTTGTGTGTATTTTATCACAATAAACTTTCTTTTTAAGGGAAGACAGGGCAGGCTAGTTGGTAAGGCAAGGTTAGACAGGTAGTTAAGTTGGAAAAACGTTACAAACTTTTTTTACAGCTGAGCAGAGGGAGGCCTTACCTACCAAGTAAAGGGAGAGAATCTAAAATTTCTTTTCTTGAAGTACTTCCTCAGAAACATCCTCATGTGACACCACCTCTTTCAAATAGACAACCTTCTTTGCCAGCCTCTTTACTTTGAATGACACTTTAAATTGGCACACAGCCTTGGCAGATGCATCCTGCATGGAGTAGGGGGAGCAGAGCAACTTCTGGGCATTGTTAAAACCGAAGATGACCATATGACAAGGTTGGATAGATGACGCAGAATCAAGCCGGGTGACAGTGAGGGTGAAGGAGGTGCAGACCAGAGCTCTGACACGGTCAGAGGAGGTGTCTGGGAAGGTGACACCAAATTACCAGCAGGTCCATGGCAGTCATGGTGGAAGGCTGGTTAGTGCAATAAGAAGAGGAACCATTAAAGCCTGGTGTCACCCGTCACCCTGTGCAATAATTTGTTAACACCATTACCACCCCTACTCCCTCCTCTGCCAATCAGGGTGTGGCTGGGTGGGTTATAGTACCTGACACTGGACGAAGATGAGGGTATTCACTTTGGACAGTGGGAGAAGAGGAGGCTACAGGAACCCCCAGAGAGGAAGGGAGACCAGGAAGGGCTAGAAGCCCTCCGCCCAGATCTAGACCCTGTGTGGAGGTGGGGCAGGACCACTCCACCCACGGGTGGGAGGGCGGTGGGTGGTTGCCTACTGGCTGGTACACAGCAGAGAATAATGTCACTGCTAGGAGGTAAATCTTAAGAACTCAATCAACATTATTTTCAGTGAAGAAAGGAGAGCTGTCTGCAGCAGCGCTCAGTTTACCAGGCATCTGTCTAATTAGGCTTGGTTGGCATGACAGGTATTGCTGTAAAATGGCACTGTGACAGGGTTCATAATGCAAATGTCAACATGTTAATAATTGTAATAAAGAAAAGCCACAGGTTGCATAGGGAAGCTGGTGACGTCCTTGACGTGTTACTTGGCATGTTGGCTTTTCCTTCATTGGTAGAGCGGCATAAGGAGCTGTTTGGATTTCCTGTTGACATGTGTGAAAGTAAGTCAGAGAGCATGTGCAGATAGAAGCAGCTTACTTTCTAAGTTGTCTGAGAAATAAAATTTGAGTTAAGCCTTTGACAAGAATGAGAACACGGCTCTTTCCAGTGCAATGTGTCCCCCGTGCCTAGCACAGGACCAGGCCAGACTCTTTATAGTCACAGAATTCTGATTTTCAGAAGTCAGGCCCTCCTGTCCAGTCTGTTTTAGCCTTTAAACCTGCCCAGCATCAGAGCAACATCCTCAGAGGTAGATAGTGACCACTCAGGAGGAACATGGACTCAGGTACAGTAATCCGAGCGCCCCACATGGAAGGTGAGAGTTCTGCCACAGAACCACCAGTGCCCCGTTAATTCTCAGTAAGTGTCTGTTGGGGGGCAAAATATAACATCAGAATCTATTTGAAAAAATATTTATGACCAAATAAAGGAAGATGATGTTGTAGTTGTTGTTGTTGTTAGGTACTGTCTAATTGATTACAATTCATAGTGACCCCCTGAACAGCAGATCTGAGCGTTGCCCTCCCCGTGTTGTCCTCACGATCTCTGCCATGCTCAAGCCTGTTGTTGTCATCCCTGTGTTAATCCATATGTCTTCGAGGGTCTCCCCCTCTTTTGCTGGTTCTATCTGTCCCAGCATGGTGTCTCTTTCCTAGAACGTGTCCCTCCTGACAGCATGCCGAAAGCATGTGAGATGAAGCGTCCCCATCCTCACCTCTCAGAGGCACTCTGGTCACAGGACAGACAGTCAGTGTTTGGTTGGTATAGAACCAGCAAGACGTGAAGACAGCCGGGGAAAGATGGACAGAGGGAAGGAAAGTGACAGCAACTCGGCAAACTTGGGAGTGCACTAGTCATCACAGAGCAGAGCTACCTGCTCATTGCTGTTCACAGTTCAGATTTCCAGAGGTTCTGCTCTCAGTGACTTACCCACAGCGGAGCTCACTTAAGTGAGTTATTCTCTTGTCTAGAGGCAGCATCTGTCAGAATTTCACCCTAAGAGCAAAATGAAATTGAATCAAAACCTGTCTCTAAACCTAAACCTTTTTTTTAATTAATTTCCTTTTTTAAAAAATAATTTT